AGTGCCGACCTCAATCTGAAGAGCTCACTGCGGGCACGATGCGCCGCTGCGGCACACTGGGACACTAAGGAACATAGTTTAAGGCTACAACGTAGTCTTGTAAGACTGGACATTCGAGCCAAGTTCTTCAGAAGTCGCGTAATACCTTACTGGAATAGTCTGCCAGAAAAGGTGGTAAGTTGCTCGAACGTCATTGCCTTCAAGAGGGCATTAGATGACTGTTGGGCTTCTACCTTCCCTGAAGCAGTTTGATGGACGTGATACTGCACCTTACTTTCTGCCTTTCAGAAAAAAACTATTGACTCGCNCAAACTGAACTGAACTGAACTGAACTGTGAACCGACCCGTCCCGACTGTAGGCCGTTCAAGGTCATTCAGGTTTATCCTCTGGTGTTTTCCAACCGGTGTTCAATTATGATCCGGGCTCTTGGGTCTATATCACGCCAGGTACTTTTTGACTTCACTGGGTTTATTCGTTCAGTTTGTTAAAGTTAACAAATTCAGGTTTAACGGTGTAAATACTGTCACTCTAAAGAATATTCGTCGAAGTTATAGTCATGGTCCCCCTGTGACGAAACCAATGATTGAGGACCGAGTTATGCTTGTATTACGTCTTTACGACAAGGTTGATCCCAACAAGGTGTGAATCGCTGTTGAATTTAGATTATTTCCAGCTTTCGCTATCGTCGGATCTGGCAAAAGATTTTGGAATTGACAGTTTGGATCATGTTGAATTAGTTATGGCTATTGAAGAGGAGTTTAGTAAGTTTCGTAATACTTTGCTCACTTTCTTAGATTTCGAAATTCCAGATATGGATTCCGAAAAGTTCCGCACACCAGGGGATATCATACGATACATTTGTGATAAATATGACTTATACGATTGACATTTCAAATACATCCCCCCTTGACCCCACAAAGTCGCATGTAGAAATATATGATAGCTCTCAAAAATATTCTTTTTACGCGTCTCATGTTTTTCAAACTCTGACTTGTATTAATAAATCTTATTGTAGCTGAAAATGAGTTCGCAGTCAGAAGCTGAGGAAGATCCATCGGACCTACCTTTCGATGTTGATGAGGTAAGACGAGTTTTCTTTCACGTGTACACCCAATTCGCTACCACTTGAAATTTTAAGTTCAGATGCTGAATGTATAGCCGCAATATTTGGTGTCAAAATGGAGCAGAACTAGGTATTGCTGAATGTCCTTTCGTACAATCACAATATTGCTGCTAATTGATGAAAGTATTTTAGGAGAACAAAAATTTTAAATTATTATTGAATCGTGCACCCAAAGAACAGTAATGTTTATGCTGAGTTTGCTGTAAGCACTTTCGCTTTCGACCGGCTCGGTACCATGTCACACTGAGTAAAGCCTCACGTCCCAAGTCACGGGTCTTTTATCATCGGTTTCTATCATCAAACAATAGCTACTCGTGATCGAGGCGTTTACCTCTTCTGCGCTTAAACGTAATCATCTGTAGTGAAAAGATATTGGTGGGCTCTTGAGGTCCGGCTCACTGTCACGTCTGATCCATTGAAGCCATGTGTGGTTCGGCACTAATTCTCAGGACCATGATTGCCGGTTTCCTAATCATAACATAAACAGGTCTACATGAAATCACGCATTCGCTCGCTCTGCGCACTCGCAATGAGCCACGATATTGA